ATCTAAAACAATTTTTAAATATCTTGAAAATTTTTATGAATAAATTTAATATCTTAAATATACTTTAAAAAATAACTTTTATTTGTTATTAGAAGTCACAAAAAAAATTTTGAAGTTCGTTAACCAATTTTATTTTTGATAGTGAATAATGAACAAAATTGAATACCATTCAGATCTCAACCCATATTGTTAAATTTATAAATAAAGCGTATTCCCTTAATAGAAGTATCGCAAATATCGTTGTAGAAAATTGTTCAAACGTGTTCAAACGTGTTTAAACGTGTTCGACATATACGCCAAGTGTAATACGTTTCTTCGTGAAGAGTTTTCTCACTCAAGTGAATCCTTTGTTTCGCAACAAAGCTCTAACTTTTTTATTCCAGCCTATACACGATCATCGCGCTTTTCACATTTTCCTCGAAATTTCATTCGATTGAGATTATACCCACTGTGTTCGAAACTTTTTTAACCGTTTAAAGATACGTAGCAAAGGACGCTTCTTCGAAAATATAAATCGATCAACATTTGCCATTTTGAAATAAAATTGAGAATAAAGAAAAGAATTATATAAATAAGGAATAAGGAATAAGGAAATATAAATAAGAAACAAAGAAAGAATTCGAAAAATGGAAATTCGTCTCTTTGAAATTTTTTCTATCAATGAAAAGTTGTATGTATAAACTTCTCACAATCAATTCTTTTCACTTTCAATAATGCAATTTAAATATTCGTTATAATTGTTAATACATCTTACATATACAAATGATCGTACATAATTTTCTTCTTAATTTTCTTTTTACTTAACCTCACTTTTCTTTATTCAACGATACTTCTCATATCTCACAATTGTTTATTTTCGATACAAATACAAATAATTTAATTTTCTCCAATTCAACAAAATTGAACAAGTTCAACACTGTTTATTCTCGTTTTCAACACCTGTACAAATTATTTAGGCTATCATATTCATTAATTCCTACATATCTAAACAAAGTGTCATATCTAAACAATTTTACGATTTTCTTCAAACACAATGAAACTTCACAATTTTCTTGATTGAACACGGTGTATAGAAACAATATTTTGACCACAGCGACACGAAGCAGCACAAAAATTCCATTAGCACGCCTTGTCGAGTATTATTATCGAACGCACCCGCGCCCCATGACCTAGACCCAAATCTATACGAATGCATCGTAGAATCTCGTCCGACCTTGCACGCTAAACCTTATCCTTTCTCTCCTAAGAATCGTTCCTTTTCATCCCCCTTGCTCGACTATTTTTCCACTCGCCCTATATAATTCTCTAAAACACCACTTTTCCCCCTCTCCCTATTTTTCTCCTCTTCATTCACATCCTCAACTATGTAATACTCTACATGATGTGTACATCTACTATGTACATCGTTTATGTTTATTGCACGTGTAAAATGCGCGATGTACTTGAAAATGATGGAAATATGCTTGGTGTGTATATATATATAAAAAGGTTAGAAACAGCATTTCGCACGATGGAATTTCTCTGAGTCACACAGGTGTTTTCGCGTTTCACTTGTTGGTTGTCTGCTTGCTACTTTATATATCACGTGTTTTTATGCGGCAGTTATTTTCTTTAAGGATTTGAAACGCATAAAATTATTTTTAGGTTAGGTTGACGGTAGAACAGTAAATATTATTTAATTTGTTACGTATTATTTTTGTACGATTTGTTTATTATAATTTGTAAGCTGATGAAATTCATTAACCCCATAAATATTCATGGAAATTATTATAATATTACGAAATTATATTACGTTTATTATATTACGAACGTACATATTTTTACGAAATTAACATTATAAATGATTGTAATTAATATCGTAAAAATAATACTATCTCAAAATTAATATTAATTTTGTCAAAAATATTTTCACATTGTTTTCAATTATCGTGAAACAACAAAATAGAAAATCAATTTTAACGTTATTTTGATTCTTTCTTTGTTAATATCGTTTAACGTAAATTCAATTATCTCTTTCATTTTGCATGCTAACCTAACTTCGCAACGAAACCACATGCTTCCACGTTTCTTCATTTATTTCAATATCGATACACTTTCTTTCTCTCCTCCATTATCCTTTTTTTTTTATCTTCTTTTCCCTTTTTCAACATTCACATCTCCATTATGTATCCTCTTTTTGCCATTTGCCCATCTACTTTATTCGCGATGTTCAAGAAAATCGACCTATATGTAACGTCCTCTCTGTCCCACTTCCGGTCCTCTCGAATCGTCTCTCTCCGTCTGATGTGCACACTGAGCGAGCTGGACTCCCGGGAATTCATCGATCCATCCACCCACGACAGACAGAGAAATGGAAGGATGGGAGGGGGTAAAAGAGGAAGCAGAAGCACGATTTCAAGGGACAACCGATATAGATCGTCGAGCACGTGGTTTAAACTTGCCTTCGATTCATTCTCGGCCCGGGATACGCGATATATAATCCTCTCTCTTGGATACGAGTTACAATATCATATACATTTTCGAGCAATGGATCGAATGAAGTAAGTAAGTAAACAATGCATGTATGTACTAAAGATATATTTTGTTAAAAATTGATAAATATTAATAGAATAAAAGAATTATTGAAAGAAAAATTTTATACAAACGTGTACTTTGTGAAATGTAGTGAAAATGAGGTTAGATTGGAATTTTGTTAGACGATAATTTATGGATCGACGTAGAATCGAAGAATTACCGACTGAAAAATTTAGTACAAACGTATCCTTGAAATATAATTTATATATATTTGAGATTAAATTTTATTAAATTTTATTAGATTATGAATGGCAATTTTTTTTAATGTGGAGTAGAATTAGAAATGGAATTTAGAATTGATTCAAAATGAAGATACTTTTAAGTAAATGAATTCTTGAAATATGATTAGGTTACTATAAAGTTAGGTTAGATTAGTTAGTTGGAATTTTTTTTTTTATGAATGAAACAGCAATTTTATTTAAAATAGGATTGAAAAATTTAAAAAGGAAGAGAAGAAATTATGTCTTCAATGATTTTAATTATGGATCATCTATTTTTCAATTTAATTTTAAAGATCAATGTATCATCGATTTTTTCCTGTTTTGTTTTATTTATTTCGTTTTTATTTTTTGTCTCTTATTAATATAAATATTTTTTTAAAACTTTTTTAAAACTTGTATGATATAATATCTATATTAAATAATATGATGCACGTATTATGTCGGCAAATTTTAGAATATTCCAAGACTTCGAACAGTAAATTTTTAAAGGTATATTTATATTACATTTACTATTCGAAAACATGACCTGAATCAACTGATATACTGCTTTAGTGAAATAGCCAGTAAACGATTACAAATTTCCATGAAATTTCATTTCTGTTTACTTTCGTTCTGGCTACATTGCGCAGTTATATAATAGAATTTTTATATCCGAAGTTGGTACTTCTTCACAACTCGGTTTCTTTCGCCTCGTCGCGATTTTATGTAAGTAGTTTAAAATTTTCTTTTAATGGACAAGGTAAGATAATTGGAACTTACTTCTCTTTTTTCTTTTTTTCTTTCTTTTTACCATAAACACGACTTAAACGTAAATAGAAATGAAATGTATTAAACGATACCGATTACTATATATCTTTCTTTAAATAAACGAGGATCATTTTTCGATTATATTTAATAATTAATTTTAATAATTGTCGATGCGAAAGATTATCGTATATACATCTTTATTCGTCGATGTATTTCCAATTCATTTTTATTCCATTCATAACTTCAAATTTCGCTCGAATTAAAATTAACCTCACATACACAATCATATAACCAACTTTGTTAAATTTTCTCTGAACTTTTTTAAACTTCTTTTTTTCACAAAATTCCAATTTTATACTTTTTTTTTTTTTACGTTACTAAAAGTTAATAATACCGTTTTTTTTTTTTAATCGATATATTTTAACCGAATGATAAAAATATCACTCGAGCTTTCTACGTAAAAATTATTCTATATTATTCTACAAAAAGATTAAAAATAGTATTTTATTGATATGTATTATTATAGATATACAGGAGCAATAGGTAAATTCCATTGTAACCCTAATCATTTCGATATAATTCATTTAAATTCCTCTATCCCTTATTTACGCACTATCCTTTATTTATAAATATGTTACCTGCTCCATCGATTTATCAGTTTTTTCCTCTTATCCTATTCACAGCATTTTCTTCGCCTGAACATAGTTAACTCGAATAATAAAGCAAAAAGAAATGGAAAAGTGGACTAATGTACATAAGTAAGTAAAGAAAGAGAGGAAAATTTAAATTTTATTTTGTAATCAATTTGAGATTTTTCTATTTTAAAATTTCCATAGAAAAAATTAAATTGAAATTTTTTTAATAAAGGATTCAATTAGAAATTACAGAAAAATAAGATAATTCGATGAAAATTAATAGAAATTTAATTTTTCATCGAATATACTTGTTCGACATATTACAATGAAAGAAACGAAAAAATTTTATTTTTCACGTGGAATTTTCAGAAAAGACGTTTCAGACAAGAATATTCAATGAAACGTTACGTTTAATCATTTAATGATAAGAATTATCCATTTTAATTTTCGTCAATTAAAATATTATTTTTGATTATATTAATTATTATTAATATAAGAATTCTTGTTATAAATTAAACATTGTGACTTCGTTTCATTTAAAGATATAAATAAATCTGATCAATCTTCTGGAATAATTTTTTTCTGTTTGAAAATGAAATAGACATAATTTTGTCTCGGTCGGTAAAGTATCAATTTCGATAAATTTTATCCACCGAAATGATATCATCACCATTCCTTTTCAAATATTTTTTTCAATCTAATTGCACATTACATTATTCATTCACGAAAACGTCGATAAACACTCGAAGCGCTCCCCAGTCCCAGAAGATTAATCGAAGCTCGAGGCAAAGTGTAAGTAATCAAAGGAGAAGAAAAAACTTACCGAGATCAGACAGCGAAACTTTCTCCAGGAAAGGATCCACGACTGGCAGCTGAAAATTGAAAGAATGAAAATGAATATCGATTCTCATTTGTAAATATCTCTTATCATAATTATATCATCTCTTCCTTTATACGAAACAATATTCGTTTGCAAAATTTAATTTTTTATATCCAAGAGAAAAACAACAGTCGTTCTTCAAATTGTTATTATCTTTTAACAAACATTCGAAATCATTCATGCAGATAAATGAATCGTGATGAAAAGATTCACTTGTACCGTGAAAGCGTAAATGTAATTTCTCTTCTAAATGCATAATTTTTACACAAATTTTCGATCAAAAATCCTCGTCCTTAAAAAAAAAAAAAAAAATATCGAAAATTTCTCAAGCTTGCATTGCAAAGAAATTCATTCAGAAAGAAAATTAATCTTCCCCAAGATTACGATAGATAATGAATCCATTTCTTCGTTTCCAGACAATACACTATGCTTCCACAATACTTTTCTTCTCTTTACGAATTAAATAATGCAGCAAAGAAAAAAAAAAAAAAAATTTCTTACTGTGTTTCTCTGATCCTTCTGCAAATATCTCTTTTACTTTCGTTAATGATCGAAATTATTTCAAAAGGGAAAAATCTTCGAACAAAGAAAGAGGAGGGGGAGGGAGGAGAGAAAGAGAGAGAAAGAGAAGGATTCTTCAAAGAAGATAGAAAAGATCGAAAAAAAAAGTTAAGTACCAACGCCTTCTTCAATAAAGATTTCGGGCTAAACGGTTGCCTCTTCTTCACGTTCGTAGTGATTTTCGTGTACCAATTCGACAAGATCCCGGACGAGCTGGTACTATGCGCTATGCTGGGGCTCTTCGTCACACTTCCGGTCGGTTCGCTGGTTTGCCGACGAAACACCATTTTTTATTTTTATTTTTATTTTTTTTTTTTTTTTACACCGAGCCACTCACTCGATTATCCTCTTAATTATCTTTGTTTAGAAGAAAAAAAAAATACACTCGAAGGACTTCCAAAAAGTTCTTTCAACTTTCGTTCTTTTTAAAAGAAAAAAAAATCCTCGTAAAATATTTTTTTCCTTTCGATCTTCCACTTCCGGTCAATTGAACTTGATCCGCTCGCGAAACGCGACGATTATTCGACGATTTTATTCGAATTTTATTCGAAGATTTTATCTCGAAAAAAATTGTTTCAAACAGTTCTCGAAATTCCGTCAATTTTCATGATTTGTTCAAATTTTCCAAGGGAGAAGTTCTAACGTTCGATCGAAGATCTTCCGTAACGAAGCGGCGGCGGATGCTCGCATCATGATCGTTCTTCGAAATCGAGTTTTTCACGTGATGATCGGAAAATAATTGAACATCGAGATCAAGAGGCAACGTATGAAACACATTTTTCTTAATTGTTCTTTCACGGTTTCTTCACTTTTTTCTTTCCTGTTTCTTTTTTTTTTTTTTTAATTCACATAATAATTTCTCACAAATTTTACTTTCGCAAAAATACAATAAAAATCCACGATTCTTCGTGCAAACGTTGTTGCAATTCGATTATCCAGAAAGGCAGGAAAATCGTCGAATCTTCGTGTGGTCGAGTATTTTCTGGGCTATTTGTAGAAATGATACGATCAGTTTTGATTAATTATATCGAGTAGAAATATACAGAAAAAAAGAGAGAGAGAGATAGAGAGAGAGAGAAAAATATTTTGTCTCGACAATATTGGATGTAAACAATTTGATTATGAAAATCTTGATGATGAGTGTGCGTTGCACTCTGAGTCTTTCGAGGAACGGACGACTGATTCGAGTAGCACAGATGCCACATTGGCATTGAACGCCGATGACTACTGTCTCTGAATACGAATGAGCCAAGTACAACGATACAGAGAAATGATTCCTTCTGCGACATGATCCGAACTGCGCTCGATACCAACTGAACCGGAAACTCGGTATCCCTTTTGATACTTTGACTTGGAAAAAAAAAAAAAAAAAGAAGAAGAAACGTAATAAGAATATATCTTTTCATTTATAATTGAAATTTTCATAATAACGAATCGACAAGTAAAAATTTCCAATCCTATAAATTATTGAAATTGAAATGATATGATTATAAAAAAATTGAGGAACAAGATTTCACAGAAAATTAATATAAATATATGATATATTTACAGAATATCGATATATTCGTGAAAAGATATAACCTTCGAAAGATTCTACTAGGCACCTAAAGATGTCGTTCGAAGCTTATTTATTATCTTAAAACACCGACATCTGCATTTACGTTTCTTTTCTTAATTTAAATTATTCTAGATAAAAATAAATGATAAGAATATAATGATAAGAATATAATGATAAGAATATAATGATAAGAATATAAAATACTCGAAGCAGTGGTAATACTTTATTTTATTTCGACGATCACTGGCAAAATACTATTTGTACCTTTCATGTATGTATCTAAAGAGAGGTTATGTTGTAAGCAAGTAGAGATAGCTCTATCTCCGTCTACGCTCTATGTTCGTCTCGCTTCATCCATCCAACGCAAACTTCAATACTCATAACCTAACAAGCTTAAACCAAGATTTTCCTCATCGTCAATTTTTGTACTCTAGTATCTCTCGAATCGATCTTCTAAACTATTCCACGAATATATTAACATCCTACAGGTATGTATATATACATGTGAATATTTAATATATCATATATTAAAAGTATAATAGAAACAAACTGTTATCTGGTCGGATGTAAAATTTACATATTTGATTCCAACAAGATCAACAGTCTACGACGTGGTATTCTTGTTTAATTAAAGATTGTCACCCGCCTTATCGTTGATAGGACGCTATTCAAATGATCTGCAAACGCAAACGCTTATCATCCCAGTGCATATTGTACAGTTGTCATATTTGCAGACCTCTGGCTGAAATCTTTTAAACCTATTCATTGACTTATATAAATAAAAATTAATAATAATAATGAACATTTTGAACACAAAGAGTACATTCTTTCAAAAATTTTTGACGATGATGTTTTCGAGATATTTGATTTTTACTTATAAGAATTATTTTTATTTTTATTATCGTTTCTTCAATCGATTTTCATAATAGTTTTATCAACTTATTTGGCTGAGGATTATCTTGGATTCATATTGTATAATCTATGAATCCTTGGATATTACATTGACACTAATATGTTATTGATAACTAATCTACATCTTAACAAAAAGTAAAGAAATAAAAAATTAAAAAAATATTTTCATGCGAGGACATACATTTTCTAGTTTATTTCTATATTTTAAATATATGTGTATATATATATATATATATATATATATATATATATACACATAACATACTAAAAGTAGTGTGTAGAATAAAAATTGAATTACAACAATTGATTTCTTTTTTATAATTGTGAAAATGTAAATTGTCATTTTTTGTGCAAAATTACAAACCAATTTCTATCATCTTAATTAAATCTCTAAAAGCAACATATCTTATCAATTCTTCTATTTATTTCTATCTAGAGAAACTAGTATAAAATTTCATCCATTGTATTATACGTGCATAAGAATAGAGTCAATATTTATTGACACGAGGAATTATATCAAATACACGATTATACATGTCATAGGAAATAAAACTCAAAAGGATCTAAAGAAAACTGCAAATTTTGGACGATACTTTTATAAAATCATTTATCTTAATTTCTAACCTAATATAATTTAACCGAACCTAACCTCTTTAAACGAAAGAAAGAGAAAACCATACAAGTAATCGCTATTATTTGCAAGGAAAACGATCACCATAAAAATTTATCTTCATCCTCTTTTATCGCTTATTGTAAATTGTAATTGTTAGGAAAGATAACACTTGTTGATACATTTAATGATCATTCAATAAATATTAATTCAAATATTTGTATTAATATTTATTCATTTGTTCATACAACTTCTCTAGCTTCCTTAAAGAGAAAAATGAAACGAATGTGATTAAATCTTTAATTATCATTCTCTAGATTGTAATTCAAAAGTTGGATTCTAATTATTCTTATATTAGAACATATTATCATTAGCATAAGTAATATAATGTAAATTTGTAATAAATTTTATTAAATAAAACTAATAAAACTATTCCTAATTTCAATTACTTTTCTCCAAGATAAATAAATAAATAAATCTAATAAATTTAATTTGATAAATAAATAAAATGATAAATTTACTTTTGTAAATGATCAATTCATTGAATCATTTCATTTCAATTTTTCATTGAAATTTCTCTTAATTTTAATTATTTTTCAAGAAAATACAATTCCAGGAATAACAATGATTATTTTTCCTCCGTCAAAGATGAAATATCGAAAGAATCATTCAGGATATTTTAGAAAATTATCGCGGAAAAACTCGTTGGTGAAATAAGCATGTCGATCGTGAGTTCATTTATTGTACTTGTTAGGTGTATTTTTTTGTAAGGCTATCTATGATATCATTATTCCTGGCACGGATCGAACGAGTCTGTCTCACATGTACATGTATGCAGTATCTGAAAAATAGGGAAAAAGGAAAAACAAGACGTTTCGTGATTAATAATTCATGGAAATCAATGATTTCTCGCATTTTATCGATTATCTTTAAATTTTTAAGAGTTTCTTAATCCAAGGAGATTTTACAGTTAATATAAATAATATTATAAATATTACTGGATATTTGAAATATTTTTATATTGAGAATTTATATTGATTAGATAACTTGGAAATTAAACGTTTCATAGTAATTTTTTTTAGTAAAATTTTTTGATATATTAGCACGATACTTACTCGATTGTGGATTAAACAATACAAACAAATCAGTTTAAGAATTGTTCCATAATATTTTTTGACTATGAAACTGTAGAAATAAAATGAAAACTTGAAGCATCGTTTCTATCCATCATTGCTTTCCAAATATTATTTGTATGTATCTGTATGTCATTTTCATGTAAAATCATTACATGTAAAATCAGTGTATTGTAGAAATAATGTAGATAAATGTAATGGTACCAATATCTTATTAT